TGTATGGAATGTCGTGTGTGTCGATTTCGGAGAGCAGCATCCCTACGTGAGAGAAGGTGAGAGATGTATATGAGAGGATAGTCCAGTGAATTGTGCGCAGCACCAAATGAATAAAAGTCGGTGGCCGTCGTAAACCCGTAGCCTTGAAGCACTTCAGGTGCCATCCAACGGAACGCATCGACGTCCTTGGTCATGGCCATTTCAAAAGTTTCGTGGGGATTGCCAAGGCCCGTCAACTTCGTTCGTTTCAATGGGTCCAGCAAAACGTTTCGAGCTTTGAGGTCGCAGTGGATGACTTTTATCGAATGCAAATACTCGAGGCCACAGGCAATGTCGAGAATGTGACCGCACTTGATCTTCCATGGCACGGTATCGACAGAATTGTTGTCCAAATACGCCCTCAGGTCCCCTCCAGCCATCAATTCCATAAAGTACATGAGGTCGCCTTGCTTGGTTTCGCCCGGCCCAAGGAAGGCCACGACAAATGGGCTCTTGCATGTCGACATGAGGTCCATTTCGTCCGAGAAGGACTTGATCTGGTCCAATGTCTTGGTACTTGAATCAACCAATACTTTGACGGCGACGTCTCGGTCATGCAGAGTGCCTTTGTACACGTTAGCGCATCCTCCAATGCCCAAGACGTGCTTGAAACCGAATGTGGTTGTGTTCAGGTCATAACATGGAAATTTTGATGCGTTCTCCAGTTGAAGAGGGCGAGGAGTTGCGATTGGATTGTATCCAGGGTACATTGAAACCGATGAGTCAGACTCGTGTGACTTTCGCCGACGTCGCAGGACGAGGCACGCGACACTCCCCCCGAGCATAAGCGCCGCCCCGAGAGCAATGCCAACGGTAATCACAACGTTCGAAGGTGTCTTGGGGGGCAGAGGTGTCGTCGTAGACGGTTGCGTTGGAGTGCCCGTCGTGATCGGTGGCAACGTGGACGAGGGTGGCAATTCGGTGACGGAAGTGCCTACATCCACACACATGCGATGTTCGGTATTAGATGTTTCGATTCGACGAGGCGTACCAGGCAAAACACAAACAGCAGCCGTCGTCTTGCCCCAAAGCGTTGCACGATTCGTCAGATTACAAGAATTGGAGCTGATCTGGAGGCTTTTGGCCTCGTATCCGTTGGATTTGCCTTGTGTGGCGGCCTGGAGCTTGTTGACTGCATCGTACGTAGGCTTGTCCATGGTCCAGCTGACCAGGTTGAGATTGTTGAGTGTTCTAATGTTGGGTGAGAGAGCTTGATACGTTCTTGTATACCACAAGCACGTACAAGTTTTCGAGTTTCGAACTGAGCGAAACATTCGAAATGACGTCAAGCGCCGGGCTGTCGCTCAAGCTCCTAATCGAGAGTGATGCAAATTGTCGATCATCACGTACAAAGTGGGGCGTACAAAGTGGAGAGTTGGCGCCAGTCCAAGTTGACAAGTTCCTTGATATCATTCTTCGCCAGAGACCTATGAACATGTCAGAGGACCCATGCATCACACGGTGAACGAACAAAAACGTGAGCGAAGGTGGTAAAGTCTCGAATGACTGAGTGTCCGATACTGAGGTCGAGTTCAACCACCTACACGTGCCAGTCACTCGTAGTTTGCGTCGCGGATTCCGTACAGGTTTTTCAACGAACGTGGAAATGCTGGAAGCGTCGAGACGTCGGAGGAAATGATGGACCTATACAATCATCAACGTGTGCCACAAGCCATGTGGGGATACAATTCCGTGATTTCTCTGGGCCATTTTACATTCGACGAGATGTCGATCTCGTCCACCCCTTGAAAGGTCCTGCACACAGCAAACTGTTGATTTGACCTTTCGTGCCAGTGATTCGTACAATTTCGATAATTGAGTTGGCCACACGAAATCTTTGAGGAGCTTCACAGTGGGGAAGTTGATGAATGTCCTACATCGAGTAAGCCATGGACTTCAATGGAGGCAACGTACAATTCATTGATATAGTTGGGTAGCTCGAAGTACGACAAGTCAATCTCTTCGTTGCCGCCATCGAAAGAGAGCTTCCTAGCAGGCATGGTTTTATATGGTCACTCGAGGGACAGCAATCGTACGTGTAGCCCGACGGGTGTTGTGGATAGTCCATAAAGTACCCAATCGCGTTAAAAGTGGTTTCGGTCTGCACGTAGCAGTCCTGATCCACGACGCATTCGGCTTCGTCGCAGTAATCGCTGTCCGAAATCAAAATCAAGGCGTCTTTGTCCAATGTGCCATATTCGTTGCAAGACATAGACAGGGCTGGTGCTGCCGCCATGTAGACCAGAGCTCGATTCATAGCTGTGTCAAATCGACTAATGGAGCTGGATAGGCAATCAGGTCAGATGCCCCGCTTAATGTGTTACGGAGAGCAGCATGTGCCTTGTCGCCAGTTCGTCCCTCACCCCACGACCCAACAGCCAGCGCGTGTACGAACATTCGAGCTCGAAGAAATGTTAGCACGGGTACGTTTCGCCGGACTACCGAGTCTAGTGCTTTGATAGCGTTCGAGTTCTTTCATGCAACCATTCCCAGGTCGCGAGAGGACCGCGTTACCCGCCTTGAATTGGCAGCTCCCCCTGCATGAGCCCGGTTAAGAGTCAAGTGTTTGTTACATTCCACGTGCAGGTTGCAAATAAAAACTGCACTTCTCCGAAGGCGGAGGCAAAGTCATTTCCCGAACTTTTGAACCTTTGCGTGTTTCGTCGGATGCAATGTGAATCAGTGCCGTTTTTGTATCACCTCTCCCAGTTCCTCCCTGGTCGCGCAATTCGTGGTACAATATCCTCGTCGCGACATACTGCGACTGAACTCCACAGCAGCTTGTGACTTGTTGATGTCGAGAGCAGATTCGTCACGACCCAGTGCGCCAGCTCGACGTCACCCGTGCGAGAAGGACTACAGCAGCCCAGTTCATCTACAAAAAGCAGTGTTAACAGTGTAGGACACAGTGACCCGGGAAAAAGCTCAAGCGTAGTACTCGCGAGTATTGTGACGTTTCTATGCATCATTTTCACCCTTGATCAGCAAGCGCAAAAAATCATGATGACGGAAACCATCATATTCTGATGTGAGGCCACTGATTGGCCAACACAATAGAGAGTACAGTGATGCCTCCATTTTTGCAACAGGACACATTTAATATCCTCCGAGAACTAATAAATTCATTTCGAGCAGTAAGATTTGAAATTCAAACTTGTACCG